CGGAATCTATAGACGGAAACTTATTTCTTCTTTCCTAAGCCTTTCAAAGTGTCTGAAGAAATTTTATTGCTTTTTTTTTGTTTGTTTTGAACCAGAAATTGGACCCAGGGGTGCTTAATCATTGAGCCACATCCCCGTCCCTTTTTTTTAATTTTCTTTTGAGACAAGGTCTTGCTAAGTGGCTTAAGGCCTTGCTAAATTGCTGAGGCTGGCTTTGAGCTTTTGATCTCCCTGCCTCAGCCTCCCAAGCTGCTGGGATTACAGGTGTGCACCCCCATGCCTGGCTCATCACCTCTTATTGGTAATCTTTATTCATCTCATTCCTCCACAATAGTAAAGAAACATGGAGTTTCAGCAGAAGGAAACTTTATTCTGTCTTGACACTTTGTCAATTTATGACTTTCACAGCCTACACGTTTTATTTGGAAATGAATAATTAGTACTATTACTATTTTTGTGATGTTTTAAAAATGCCTTGTGCATATTAGTATCTCAAAATTGATTTTTCAGGTAAGCTGAGGTAAGCCCTCAATCCTGTCCCATAGAACAAGGAGACCATCACAGTCAGTAAGAAATGTGGATGTGGCTCAAGTGGTAGTGTGCTTGCCTAGCATGCCGGAGGCACTGGGTTCGATTCTCAGCACCACATAAAAGTAAGATAAAGATGTTGTGTCCACCTAAAACTAAAAAATAAATATTAAAAAAATTATTTTTCATTATTAACATTATAATTACTAAAATCCTCCTGTAGGATAATTATTTTGGATACATATCTTCCAGCTCTCCCATGGTATCAATGTGAGAGCAACATTTAGAAATTGGGTTTTGAGTCAGACTTCAATTAATAGAATTTTGGTTCATCACTGTGTTTGCTCTGCGATGGTGAGGAATTATTTAAGCTCTCTTAGATGTATATCATTCACTGCACAGTAGGAGTTGTAATATTCACTCTATGTATGATTGAGGAGTGAAATTAAATAGGATAATGCATGTAATCGCCCTACTATGGCTCTGGGGACCTACAATGGGCATTTCATAAACATGAGCTAATGTTCTTTTATATATAAAATGTATATATATATAAAATGTATATATATATGTATAGTAGATGAAAACAATACCTTTATTTTATTTATTTTCATGTGGTGCTGAGGACCGAACCAAGTGCCTCACACCTGCTAGACAAACACTCCACCACTGAGCTACAACCCCCGACCCCAGTTAGTGTTCTTTTTTTTTTTTTTTTTTTAGAGAGAGTGAGAGAGGAGAGAGGGGAGAGAGAGAATTTTTAATATTTATTTTATTTAGTTCTCGGCGGACACAACATCTTTGTTGGTATGTGGTGCTGAGGATCGAACCCGGGCCGCACGCATGCCAGGCGAGCGCGCTACCGCTTGAGCCACATCCCCAGCCCCTAGTGTTCTTAACATCACAAAGATAGTCTGTCTTCATGGGTACCATTGGTCAGAATCCCCCTGAACAGGGGTCAGCCATGGAGGATGCAATTCTCATCAATGTAAGTATCAGTCGTCTTATCTCCTGTAACTGTGCACAGCACTTGTATTGTCGCCAGACGACAAGCAGAGAGGCTTTGCTGTTTGTAAACAAAACCACCAATTATATATTTTGACCATAAAGTGCTGATTTTAGTCCAAAGCCTCTCTGCTCAACAGCAGGACTTGGGGCACACTCTCATATGTGCCTTCTGTCTGACAGAAAGAAAAACTTTCAGTCAATATTGTATGTATGTATGCAACAAGAGGGTGAGGTGGATTCGTTTCCTCCAAGGAAAACAACAGTTTTCTTTGCTTTAATTTAAATRTCACAAGGTGTCCCCTGTGGAACGTTTGTTTTCTACATGGACCCAAAGTCAAGAATCAGTCCTCTGTGAAGTGCTTCCTCTAAAGAATCTTTCAGGGTTAGGGATATACTTCAGTTGGTGGAGTGCTTGCCTTGCATGCACAAAGCCCGGGTTCAATCCTCGGCACCACCAAAGGAAAAAAAAGAAAAGGAGAACATTTGACAGTTTTGTAAACCATTTGGTGTTTTCGATGGTAAATTCATGATAATTAAAAGTGTCAAGGTAGAGAGGGAGGTACTTTAATGTAGGTACTTTGATGTTCTGATCAAACATCACTGTGGGGAGTCCTCTGTGAGCTATTTGAGGGGCCTTTGCTCTGTACTGAGCCATGGAGACTTAGGTGTTTTCCTTAGGACTATCCCAGCTCTCCTGTGCGCATCAGATTGCCCAAGGGAGGAGACCTCAGTCTTCCCTCTACTAGGGGTCAGATCCTGCAGCTCCAGAATTGGGTGTAACCTGTTAGGAACTGGACAGCCCACCCCCTACCTTATTTTGCAAAGATCATTCCATGGAAAACTTTTGATAGGAGGAGGAGGAGGAGGAGGAGGAAAATAATAATAATAATAATATAATTATATTATTATTATTAATTATTATTATTATTATTATTTAGTCCACAGGGCAATATTAATTATTTCTCAGAAGAAGACACAAATGTCCAGCAGATTTATGACAAAACTCCTCAACATCACTCATTAGGGTAATGCAAGCTAAAACCACAAGGAGACAACACTGCACACTGCTCAGCAGCGTTATGATCAAAAACAGGATAAAAAGGGAAACAGGGGTTGTGCACTGTAATCCTAGCTACTCAGGAGGCTGAAGCAGGAGAATCTCAAATTCAAAGCCAACCTGGGAAACTTAGAAAGACCCTTTCCCTAAATAAAAAATTAAAGAGGCTGCAGATAAAGCTCAGTGGTGGTACAACTGTCTGGCTTGGGTAAGGCCATGGATTTAATCTTTAAAAAAAAAAGAAAAGAAAAAAAAAAGAAAGGCAGGGGAAAAAAAAGGAATGTTGGTGAGGATGTAGAGAAAAGGCATCTCTGAAATGTAAATAAATGTAATAATTTATTGTAATGTAATAAATATGGAAAACAGGTTGTAATGTAAATAAATGTAATATTATGGACAACAAGTTGCTTGAAGAATTTTAAACAGACCACCATAACATCCAGAAATTCCATTTTTGCATGAAAATCAGATGGGTGTGAAATAGGTATTCACATTACATGTACATTCTCATTCCTGTCGCAATATTATTCACAGTACTCAAAGTACAAAATCAATGTAAATGTTTATTGACATATAACTGGATAAATAAATATGCATCTACACGATGGGACATTAGTCAGACACAACAATGAGAGAATCATGGCATTTAGTACAACATGGATGAGCCTGGATGACATTATCAGTGTGACATATCAGTATGACCTGATATGTCATACTGAAGCTGCCAGGCGGGCGTAGGAAGTCAAGTCCCTCATGGCTCACTTACACGTGGGTCTAAAAGTAGAGTCCAGAGAAATAGAGAAGATGGTGACCACAAGAGCTGTGGGGTGGAGGATTAGGTAGTTATCTGTCAGAGCTACCCATTCCAGTTAGATATGCTGAGAAGCTTCAAGAGATCTATTGTACCACATGATGAGCATAATCAATAACAGTAAACTTCAGGGTTGAGTCAAAGGGAAAGATATCACAATGAGGGGGAAATATATTGGCAAAACACATATTGGATAAGGGTCAAGTATCTTTATAATGTAGTGATTTTAACTGTCAGAAACAAAAATACCATCTACACAATTACTTAATGAGCACTGACTTCATAAGACATTTCTCCACAGAAGATAGATCAACTGCCAACAAATTCCTGAAAAGATGCTCAATTTGTCACAGGGAAATGCAAAGCAAATGCAAAATGAGATAGTACTTCACAGACTGTGGAATGCTCTGCTTTTTATAAGTATTGGCAAGGATGTTAAGATACCAGCACCTTCACAGGTAGAATGTAAAATGGGACCTTTTACACTTACCATAGGCCCAAGCTCCACTCCTATTTATATTACCCAAACAATAATAATAATAGTATAGTTCTTAACAATAAAGATAGATTCTGAGAAATGCACTCTTATGCAGTTTCGTCATCATGCAAACATCCTACAGTACACTTAGATGAAGTATCATGGCTGTGACATCACTAGACAATCCAGTGTTATGGAACTGCCCATCACATATACAGTCTGTCATTTGCTGAAGCCTCATTAATGCAGCATGTGACTTTACTCAGACATAAACATTCACGCATATCCTTAGCAGCAGTCTTCACAGCAGCTAAAAGACTATCAAGGAAGGAATGGCAAAACCACTTTGTTGTACACTGAAGTGAAATATGCAGTGACAGAAAGAGAGAGAGGTAACATTAACCAATAAAACTGCCAAAGGGAAGAAGGAAAATAAGGACAGAGGAAATGAGGGAAGAAGGAAGGAAAACCAGCAAGAACCACAGAGAATGAAGCAAGGTCTCAGTGCGATTCTAGCCATTACCTCACAAGTCGTATGAAAAAGCCTGTGTTCAGAACTTGGTTCCAGATTTCATGTTCAAAATCCAAACATTGCTGTTACAAAGAGTATGTTAGCAAAGGTCAGAGCTGACCTCAGTTGTGTGTTCCACGTTTAGTCAATTCCAATCTCAGWGTCTTCAGTGAGTAAGTGAATGAGAGAAAATATTTCAAAGAAATCTTTTCCAGGATAAATAAAGTCATAGATGTAAAGCAACAAGCACAGTCCTGATATAACAAGCTCTTTTGTCTTAAAAATTTCATTCCTTTTCCTCGGGGAAAATAGGAATATTCAAATTAAGGTAAGGAATATTAATATTCAAGGAATGGTTTTTGAGGAAATTATTTCAGCACTTGGCATAAGTTCTTTATGTCAAGTTGAACAACGCAGGAATGACTACCAGAAACTTCCACATGTGGAAATTCWTGCACCACGTATAATTAAGAAAAGTTAAAAGTACTGAATGGATTCTAGAGGAGAAGTTAACACAAACATAAACAAATGTGGAATCACGGATCTTTTGGGAAAAGAAGAAATAAGGCATGTCTTTAGGTCCCTGAAGGAGCCAGGATAGGTAAATTCACAGCAATAGCTTAAGTATCTGCAATGTCCACTTAGTTCTGAGGTCAGTGATCCAAGAAGGACCAAAGRCTGCTCTTCTGAGAAGCCTCCCCAGGGCCCCCTTCACATCCTTGTTCCTCAGGCTGTAGATGAAGGGGTTCAGCATGGGGGTGACCACCGTGTACATCATGGAGGCGATCACGGTTCTTGGGGAAGACTGGGTCCCAGCAGAACTGAGATAAACCCCAAAAGCTGTTCCATAGAACAAGGAGACCACACAGAGGTGGGACCCACAGGTGGAAAAGGCTTTAGACTTGACCACAGAGGAGGACATCCTCAGTAAGGAGGAGACAATCTGAGAGTAGGAGAAGAGGATCCCTGTCATAGGAACCACACCCAGCAGGGAAGTCACTGTATACATAAAGATGTCATTGATGATGGTATCAGAACTGGCCACCTTGAGTAGCTGAGCCAGTTCGCAGAAGAAATGTGGGATTTCAGTGCCCGTGGAGAAGGTCAGTTGATTCAACAGTAGAACATGAATCAGGGAGACCCAGAACATGATGAACCAAGACATCAGAACCAGGAGGACACAGAGCTGGGGGTTCATGATGACTGTGTAGTTCAGAGGATGACAGATGGCCACAAAGCGGTCAAAGGCCATGATGGTTAATAGGAAATTTTCCATTCCAGCAAAGGTATTAAAAAAATATACCTGAGTCAGGCACTCGATGTAGGAGATGTCTTTATTCTGTGCCAGGATCTTTGGGACTGTGGTGGAGATGAAGCAGATATCAATGAAGGACAGGTTGGAGAGGAAGAAGTACATGGGGGTGTGGAGGTGGGGGTCAGAGCTGATGGCCAGGATGATGAGCAGGTTCCCAAGCACTGTGACCAGGTACATGGACAGGAACAGCCCAAAGAGGATGGGCTGGAGTTCTGGATCCTCTGAGAGAGGCAGGAGGAGGAATCCTGGTACACACGTGTGGTTTTCTGCTTCCATATAATTGGTGTACCTGCTGGGGAAAGAGGCAAGTGCACTGTTCAATTAATAGCCAGCCGTCATCTCAGGTAATTTTCTCTTTACAGTGTCACCCTTGGATGGATATCCTTCACCCTGTTTTGAATCGCACCACTGACTGTGATTTACTCAGCCAAATGACAGCCCATTTCCCACTTTCAAAAGTGTGTAATTGGGCTGGGGATGTGGCTCAAGCGGTAGCGTGCTCGCCTGGCATGCATGCGGCCCAGGTTCGATCCTCAGCACCACATACCAACAAAGATGTTGTGTCCGCCGATAACTAAAAAATAAACATTAAAAATTCTCTCTCTCTCTCTCTCTCTCTCTCTCTCTCTCTCTCTCTCTAAAAGAAAACAAAGAAAGTCCTTCAGTAAGTTCCTGTTGCCATAAAAAAATTTTTTTTTAAAGTGTGTAATTATCCTGACTTCCTTTAACTTAGCAGAAACATCTCTTTCTATCATTGACTCACTAGTTTCAATTTTCCTAACTAATGGTCATCTGGGGAAGCCACCCATGAATTACATGAGGATTTAGGTTTGGCCTTAGGAACTATCCATGGCTCTCCCAAGGCAATAGATTGCCCAATGCATGTGACCTTTGAACTCCGCTCTCCTAGGAAGATCACTCATAGTAGCCACAAAGATGGATGTTTAACCCGTTGGGAAGTGGACAGCCCACATTTAAACCTTTTTTGGTAAAGAACATTCTATGGGCTGTCTGATATTTCCGGATATAAAGAAAGCAGGTGGGGGCTCCATTTTGCCATAGTGTAGACACTCCATCATGACCAGCTGGCCCATCCTGCTCCAGCTTTTGAAACTGATTCCACCAAGGGGAACTCCATTTTCGCTGCCCTCGCAGGGCATCACCTGATTTCTCATCTATGTTAAACTTCCAAGGTATTTGCAGAAACTTCATCATCTCTTTTCAGTAATCCAAATACTTTATTAATTCCCATGGCTCTGTAAGGGTCACTGCACATGAAGTTTCAGCCCAAGCAACCTTCACTGTGTAACATGGCACACTGATTTCGATTAACCCCTACAGTCTACACCTTTTGCTTGGAAATGAATGGTAATCACTGTTACTATTTTTGTGATGTTTAAAAATGTCTTGTTCCCAGGAGGATCTCAAAAATGTTTTGTCATTATTAAGTATCCCAAGGTATCGTTATGAGAGGGACATTCAGAAATTGAGTTCTCGAGTCAGATTTCACTTAACCTCATTCTGGTTCAGCAATGCAGCACATGATGTTGGGAAAATGACTTAAACTCTTCTAGATGCAGATTCTTCCCTCCAGGGTAGGAGTCACAATTATTCCTGACACAGTAAGGATTAGAGAGTGAAATTGAGACAGTGCATGTAATTGTTATCCTGTGGTTCCTGTGCTGTAACACGGGCACTCAGTAAATGTGAAATGTTAAAAAACAATGTTAAGAACAATACATCTGCCTTGCCAGGCTACTGTATTTCAATATTCCTCTTAACTTAACCAGGGCAGCCATAAAGGATGAAATTCTGAACAATACAGATACAACAGTGATGTTACCTCTTTTAACTGCATACAGCACTTGTATTAATGAAGAGACCTATGGCTCCTCTGGGAGAATTTCCTGCCAGGTGAATTGTTCCAAGAAGAGGAAAAGTTCAGAGGGACTCTATTGATAAGAGGAAGAAACAAAAGCACACCACCATTAAAGTCAGGTGCAGGAGACGTGTGAGAACGTGTGTCCAGTTGCCCATTCTCTTGAGTAGGGACGTTTTGTAATGAAATCAGCAGTCAGTGGGCCAAATATCTAGCTTTGGATTCCATTTCAAGCATTCAAGCATTTATAAACCAAATCATCTTAAAATCAAAACGCCAATTTATGATTTAAAAATTTAAACAAAGAGTGAGCATGAAGATGGCTAGGGATGTTAGTTTTTTTCAAAACATGAAAGAAATCCTTGAACACCAATTTAGTCTGGGAAGGTGGGGAGAGAGTGTTCTCTGAAACAGGAATGCTTGAGCGGGGAGAGGAAGGACGGTGACTGCTCATCGAGGAACGCAAACCTTCTGGTCTGAGAGAAGAGGATGAGTGGCGGCCTAATCAGATGGCCAGCTGGTATAGGAAGGGGTGGCAGTGACCAGTGTGACAGAGAGCAGGGATGGAGCAGGATGAGTTTCTGGAGAGACAGAATGAAATTTAGAGGGACATTCAGAACTGCCTGGGGTCCTCCCTGAGGTTCCTCACACATTGGTAAAGCTGTACTGATTTGAGGATATGAGGTTTGGACATCTTTGTTTATTTTTTTACCCAAAGATGCATACGGTGGATGGATAAAGAAAAATGTGGTATATATACTCGATGGAATATGACTCAGCTTTAAAGAAGAGAGAAATTATGGCATTTGCTAGTAAATGGTTGGAGTTGGAGAATATCATGCTTTGCGAAATAAGACAATCCCACAAAACCAAAGGCCGAATGTTTTCTCTAATATGTGGATGCTAATTCACAATAAGGTGCAGGGGGCACTAGGGAAGAAGAGCGAATAGCGTGACCTTAGATTAGGTGGAGGGAAGTAAAGGAAGGGAAGGGGACGGGGTGTGAGGATAGGAAAGACAGTGGAATGAARCAGACTGTATGTATGTATGTGACTGCATGACCAATGTGATTCTGCAACAGGTACACTCAGAAAAATGAGAAATGATATCCCATCTATGTATGATATATCAAAGTGCAGAAATGCATTCTACTGTCATGTATGACTAATTAAAAAAATTTTTTAAAGATGCATATGGTACCTGTCACCTTGCAGGTGCTTAACAAGTCTAGATGTTGGCTGTGTAACGAAGACTGAGATGTGTGATCTTGAGAAAGTTGCTTAAGCTCATGTCAACAACAACACAAAAAGAAATACATCAATGAAGAGAACTCAAAAGTATAATCACAATAAAAAAGTGACTTTGAGGAGATTTAGCAACCATTACTGTTCTTAACAGCCAGGCCACAGTATCCTTGGACACGAGGAAACCAATAGTAACTTCTTAACTCAATAAAAAATGATTGTTGGAAAACCACAGCAAACAGAAGATGCTACAATGAAACACTATAATATTTGTGTTTGGTTCATGAACATGGCAAGAGAGTACACTCCAACTTCAATCACTCAGTATTCTCCTAAAATCAGAATTGGCCTGAGTACCACACATCACAAATAATCAGGATTGTATATGTGGTGGCCACTGAAGTGCACAGATAGTGACAATGACAATCACCACAATCTGAGCTTCAGTGCAGATTCAGTGACGTCATTAAGTCRGTCTGACAGCAGCATCAGTAGATTACAAAAGAAACATCCAGTCACATCAGAGCAATACCTCATGCCGGAGGGATCTTCAGTGAGCAGTTAGCAAATAAATGAATTGAAAGAGGGAATCTAATAGGGACCTGTCATCCAGGGAGGGAGTGGAGGAGATAGGAAACTCTCCAGAAAGCACCGCCTTCAAGGAATGGCCATTTCAGACTCTTGCATTAAGGTTCAGAATTCCAGAGAGCAAGGAAAGAGGCAGAATGGGAGCCGGAAAAGATGGTTTGGTAGAAAGTAAAGTACCTTGCACGTGCAGGACCTTCGCCTTCACAGACTGACTACCCTGGGCTGCCCAGGGTCACTGTCCTGGAGTAGAGCCCGGTGCCCACCTTCCCTTTTCCTTCTTGCTGCACCAGCCACACTGGACACACCGACTCTCTCCAAGGGCTACCACTGGAGATGTCCCTCTGCACAGCCGGTTCCAGGGAGCCCACTTGGGTTTTCACAGGGGCCTGGAACAAAGAAGTCAGGAGAGGGGAGCAGGGGCTGGCTTCAGATTTCTAGCAGCTCAAGGGTTGAATTCTCTGTGCTGCTCACTGAGTCAGTCTTTGTGTTGTATTCTCACCCTCCGGGCAATTCAGCTCCCCTGGGCACAGAGCAGAGAGCACAGTGGAAAATTTTCAGTCAACTTTGTATGTTTGTAGGCAGCAAAGAGGGTGAGATGGACTCATTTCCTCCAAGGAAAGCATCTGTTTTCTTTGCTTTGATTTAAGTATACAATGTGTCCTCCAAGGAATGTTTAATTTCTACAAGGGACTCATCAGAAGAATCACTCCTCTGTGAGGGGCCTGCCCCAAGCAATCTTTGAGGATTTAATAAATCTCTTGGTGTCCACATGTTCAATTCATGATAATTAATGGTGTAGATAATTAAGGTAGGTAGTGAGGTACATACATAGAGTGTGAGGCCAAGGTGACTTCATCCCTATAGGTCTAACAGTTCTAAAAATTATATATACTATATATGTACATTATGCCCAATACACAAGCAATGTAATTTTCAAAATGTTTCTTTAAGCTTTCCCCATGTTCTTTATTTTCAAAAATTATTTAATTTGTTTTATATATTTTGTTTATCTTTTCAAGGAATAAGGAGTAAATAGCTAAAAGTGTGAGAGTCTGTTTTTATGGCGATGAAGATGTTCTAATTTGCCCTCATGATGCCCCCACATGTGTATGGATAGACTAGAAGTCATTGAGTTGTACACTTTCARAGGATGAATGACATGGCACGTGATTATATGGTAACAAAACTGTTTAGGAAGGTTTATCAAACTAATATCAGATATCAAAATATATATTATTGTGGTTCAGGGTGCAAGAGTGATATTGTACACAATGGATTGTAGGTTCTAGAAAGACATAGAGAAGAATATTACTTTGTTTCTGTAAAGGGAATGACATCACTTGGGAGGTATTGAGGGCTGGCTGGTTGGTTTACAGTGCTGGGATGGAACCCAGGGCCTCCTGTGTTGTTATGCTTGAATTCGGGACCCCCAAAAGACCACCAGAGACCAAGATCGATGTAAGCGGCAAACAGGTGTTTATGGCGAGCTAGCTCGGTCCTCCACACGCACACACAGCAACTGGTGACGCTGAGAGGCCCCGAGCCCAGGATTTGCAGCAGTTTTATACACTCTTTGGGGAAGGCAGGGACTTCACATACATCATAGCATCTCTTAGCAAATCATCACACACCGAGGGAAAATCATAAAACAACTCTAAAACATGATTAACACATTCACTGGGGGGAACAAGTTGGGTAGGGGTGATTAGCTAGTACAAGAGGGGGATTTGTTTGAACTGATTGGTTTAAGCCATGAGATCAACCACCATAAACTACTGGGAGGGTCATCTGGCATCCCAGGTATTTTCCCTGTCTCATGCTGATTGGTGGTTGCTAGGGGGTTGCGATGGGTCCTCACCTAGCCTGACTGAGTCAGGGACACCTGGCTCTCCTGWTATTTGTAGATAAACAACTCAGCAGGGTGGTTATGTGCCTAGGAGTGCTCTGTGGGTCTTTCCAAGGACAAGGGTCCCGCCCCCTTCCTTGGACAGTCTTTGCTCTGAGGTAGAGGCTGGTTTTTCACCTGCACACCAGGCAGGTGCTCTGCCTCTTAGCTACACCCATGGCCCTGGGAGGTACTTTATGACTCTGCTAAAGGAAGGAGGTTTACACTCCAGTGCCAGCTACCTGCAGAGTGCATTAGAAATTCACCCACCCTCCATGTTTGCAGGCAGAGGTGTAAGGAACATGCCGGCAAGAGGAAATCAGTTCTAAAGTTCATTTTCAAATTTTTTCCTTCCTCATATTGAATCTCATAATATTATAGAAAACATTCTATATTCCATAGAATATAGATAATACCATAAAACAGGATAATATATTAGCTATTGTAATATATGTAATTAACATAATTAATAATTATTAGATAATAAATTCTTTTATTATGTGATACACTATATATTGATGTTTAAAATATACTTAATTGTAATGTATAACATATATTATACTATAATATCTTGCAAGATATTGTATTAAAAACAAATACAAAATTCCATAATGTAGCATCAGTATAATTGAACACAGATACTCAAGTCCAAAAAGCTCAAACTTTTCTCTTTCTTTTTTTTTATTAGTTGCTCCAAAAAGCTCAAACTTAAATTTCAATGCTACATTAATTCAACTTACTTTTTAAATTCTGTTTGTCTGTTTTTAGACTCATCTTTAGCTTCATCTATTCAACAGATTTTCCTCAGGCCAGAGACTGTGCTCAGTTCTAGGAACACAAATATAGAACAGAGAAGAAAATTTCTTGCAATTGACTGTAGATTTCAGAAACATAGCAGTAGTGATGCTAGACATAAAAACAGAGTGTGGGCCAGGCTTGGTGTTACACACCTACAATCAGGAGAATGAAGCAGGAGGATTACAAGTTTGAGGCCAGTGTACGCAGCTTAGCAAAACCCTGTCTCAAAGTATACAGGGGACCCGAGTCCCCTGTGTTTCTCCTTTGCTAGCAAAGGAAAGGGGCTGAGGATGTGGCTCTGGGGTAAAGTACTGGGTTCAATCTCCAATATTCAAAAGTAAATAAAGAAATGAGTGTGGGCTGGAGATGGAGTGTTGGTGAGCCTGATTCTAGACCCTCAGGGAGGAATGCTTGTCTTGCTCACTGCAGCGGGCAAGTCCTAACACAGAACACTGTTTGGGGACAAAGTTCTGTCAGAACACTGGCAAGTGCCATTTCCTTGCTCCTTTGACAAGAAGTTATTCCCCTGTTGTTACAAGATCAGCCTGAGTGGCAGTTACTGAACTCTTGGTGTCTGGACTCCAGTAATATGATATGTTGTGTATCACCTCTGGCCTGTTGTGACTGTTATATGTAAATTGGCACATACCCACTATAAAAGCTGTTTTTGCTGTGCAATAAAGCAGATGCAGTTCTCTGAAACTGTCTCCAGAGGGGTTTCTCTGCACCTCCAAAGGGCAGGCCCTTTATTACTGCTGTTGACTGGTGATGAGTTCTTGCTTCCTCAATGTTGAAGTATAACACCAGAGAAGCATGCCAAGGCAAGGTCAGAGTGGAAAATAGAAGCTTATTAAAGGACAGCAGAAAAGACTTCTCCAGGAGGAAGAAGGGGACCCAAGAGATGGAATTCATTGAAGGGAGAATGTGTTTCCCTTTTTATAGTTTTTTCAGTGATGGAATGTGGGTGGGAAGGCCAGAAGGGTGGGACACAGGTGGGCCAAAGAAGTAAGGAAGGACTTTTGAGTCAGCATCTTCAAGTTTGCTGGGAGCTGTTCATTAACACTTCTTTGGGATGGGCTCTGGGCCTTGGGCTTTTCCCAGACTTCATTAACATTCCAAGAGTTGTTCAGCTTTTCCTGGAATTCATTCTCAACATGGCCTCCATTTTGGATCTTACTCAATATTAGACCCAATTTACCTAACTACACTGACTACCTATTTAAATCTGGCTTCATTCCCCCCTCTAATTTTGGGAACTCTTACTGCTGTAAGGAAAGGGGGCAAAGATCGTTCTGGCTTCTTCAGGCTGAAAGGGGATGATGTTGGGCAAGCAGTTTGGAGTCCCTCTTTAAAAAGTGGGTTTATCAAGTGGTCCATGATAGAAGTCTGATTGAGAAGTAATAGGTTGAAGAGCCACTTAAGTGTATGGGTGGTCTATAAGAGAAACAAGAATTTATTAGTACTGAAACCAGATTGATGCAGCAATAAATGCCACAGCACAGGAATATGCCAATGAGTATGATGCCAAAGACAGAGACTAACAATGTTTTCCACCAGGAAGTACCAGAGAACCAGGAGCTAAGGTATTGTTCCCATGACAAGGCTGGTGAGGACATGCCTCCCTCTAGCAGCTTAAAGAGAACACAGCACATTTTAAACATTGGAGCAGTAAAACAGACTAGTGAAAGTTACCTATGCATCTTAGGAAACCTGGGCAGATTTTACTAATTATCTCATGCCTTTCTCTCAGTCCTACAACCTGAATTGCTAACATTTCTGACCAGCAAAGGAAGGGGAGCATCCAGGAGGGAATGGATGCGGGGTGGGAGTGTTGCGTAGCCCACACGGAGGCAAGTGTGATTGGGGCTTTCCCTCAGTGCCATTCATCTACTGATCACCCTAGATACCCCTGAGGGATGTCGGGAGGGGGCTCAAGAGAAAGGAACCTTAGGAACACGTCTGAGTGTAGCCCAGACCAGAATTCCGCAGTTGTTCCAAACTCCTTCCTCCAGCTCCACGCATCTGAGGCAGATCGGGATTTAGGGACACTGTGTACTCACGCCAATTGCTCTCCGGGCCCAGACAGAAAAGTTGGAAGTGGCTTTGGCAGAACCCAACATGCCTGCTCCGTACCGAACAGGTGATTGAGAGCTGCSTAGGCTGGGAAACCTCTCACCCGAGTCTTGAAGAGTGGCCGCTGCACTAATTGCATTTAAGTAGCCATCGGGTGCCCACCTTACCCTCCAGAAAGAGAAAGATGCACCTCAGACAAACATGGGGTGTGTGGAGAGGCGCTTACCTCGGTGTAGAATCTCGGTGGAACCTCCAATATATTACTGCTGTTGACCGGTGACGAGTCCTTGCTTCCCCAATGTTGAAGTATAACACCAGAGAAGCATGCCGAGGCAAGGTCAGAGTGGAAAATAGAAGTTTATTAAAGGACAGCAGAAAAGACTTCTTCAGGAGGAAGAAGGGGACCCAAGAGATGGAATCCATTGAAGGGCAAATGTGTTCCCCTTTTTATAGTTTTTTTCAGTGATGGAATGTAGGTGGGAAGGCCCGAAGGGTGGGACACAGGTGAGCCAAAGAAGTAATCTGGGCAGGAAGGACTTTTGAGTCAGCATCTTCAAGTTTGCTGGGAGCTGTTCATTAACACTTCTTTGGGATGGGCTCTGGGCCTTGGGCTTTTCCTGGACTTCATTAACATTCCAAGAGCTTTTCCTGGAATTCATTGTCAACATGGCCTCCATTTTGGATCTTACTTAATATTAGACCTGATTTACCTAAGTACACTGACTACCTATCTTTAAATCTGGCTTCACCTTCAGCAATGGAGCTCAGTGATAGAGACTTGCCCAGTGTACACGTGGTCTTGGGTTCTTTCTCAAGCACTGAAAGAAAAGTAATTAAAAATGGAAATAGATATCTCAAGATGTCCAACAATACATGTCTCAAAAGGAAAAATTCCCATTATCCCACCACTCTTTATTTCTCTCATATAAAGCGGAAATTCTTCTGGGGATAGAACGTTCCTGAAGATAAATGTTCTGTGAGTTCATCTCTCAGGACACCCTCTCCTGGGGTCCTGCTTCAGCCCACTGGATACAATGCAGTCTTTCCATTYCTAGAAGTGTTTGGGGTAAATGAAGTGATGATTGCCTGTCCTGGGGCCACCACTCTCATTCTGCTCATGAGGATCATGTCGTGTAATGTCACAGATACCCCATGTTATGGTAAAAGTAGTGAAAACTAATGACAGAAACAGAATGGGATTTCACCTTTTAAAAATCCTGTTCAGGTTATAATTTTAGAAACCACATCAATATTTCTAAAAGATCCTCTTGGCAATGTGATCCCTGAGATATCTTCTAATGTCCTGCAAGTGACAATGATAACTTTCCTTGAAGACAGTGGGGACTCTGAGGATACTCCAGGAATTTTAACAGTGCTCCACTTTACCTTTTCCTCTTCTCCCTCTCCCCCTCCCTAAACTGGGGCAGGGAACAGGATTACCTTGAGTTATTTGTGCTCCACAGGAAGGAATTATCTCCCAAATTAACAAGTGAATCCCAACACACCATCAGGGATGCCCTGTCAGGGCACATCTGGAATGAAGCCTTTGAATAGCTTCTTAAAATCTCCCGTCTCTCCTAATGGGCAGAATTGCTGCATCTGGGACAGGAGCCCCCTGTGTTTCTCCTTTGCTAGCAAAACAATAAAACTTCTTTTTCCTTTTTCTCAAAACCATGTCCTTGTTAGTGAATTGGCATACAGGACAAGGACCAAACTTTCAGCTACAGATAATTAAGACTTCTAAGGGATTTATCAGCCCAGCATGATAGCACACGCCTGCAATTCCAGCTGCTCAGAAGGCTGAGGCGGGATTGCAAGGTCAAAGTCAGCCTGGTCAACTTAGTGAGAGGCACTGTCTCAAAATTTTAAAAATTTAAGAGGTCTAGGGATGCAGTTCAGTGATAGAGTGCAGGTGCCAGGCCCTGGGTTCAATCCCCAGATGGTTAAAAAAAAAAAGGAAAAAGGAACTTATTTACTGTTCAAATTGTATTTCCTGCACAGTTATATTAATTCTCTTTACATCTGTGAAGCACATATAGATTACTGTACATATTGGCAGAGTTTGAATGTCCAACATTCAGGTATTGCCTCTTTAAGAGGGGAAGAGGCTAATGAAGATTAAGGCCCTTATGAAGAAGCTCCAGAGAGTAGGGGTAGGGGCGGGTGGGGGAGAGAAAGAGGAGCGTGGAGCTATGGAACAGGCCAGTCAACAAATCATTTCCACGCTATTCATTGCCATGTGTAATGTCAAAGTAAATGCAATGTTCTTGGTGTCCAATAAGAGAGGACAACCAGAGATACTGTCAGTCACTAGTGACGTTCATTCCAACAGTGCACACAACACCAAAACCCACACAAATGTCTGTGYGGCCTGTTAGGTAAGAATAGGGTCTCAGGTCAGAGTTCTGGGCTTCAGTCCTGCTTTTGCCATTGATCCCTCTATCACATTGGAAGGTTTGCTTTGTTCTGTATCCTGTGCCTCTGTGTGCACGCATGTTTGCTCTTAGAGCCTCACTTTCTGTAACAGAGGTCCCTTCACCTTCTGAATATGGCCCTCATTGCTCTAAAGTTTATTATTTTTTTTAAATTCTCTCTCTCTCTCTCTCTCTCTCTCTCTCTCTCTCTCTCTCTCAACAAGATTAAGGAGACAGTGTTATCTTTTCTTCTCCT